ACGCAAGAATCGAAGTGGAAAAAGGGTAAAATAGTACTTTAAATATATTTATTGCTCAAATTGAGAGTGATTAATTGCTTTTCTTAATCCTAATGAAAATGCCTAAAACGACTAATATTTAGGAACAGAGGGAGTATTTATTTAGGGTAAATTAAGTAACTTTTAATGAAGATATTTAATTTTTGATAGTTTTATACAAGTGTATGACTTAAAAGTTATCAATAATAAGTGTTATAGTTAATACTATATTTAAGTCCATGTGTTTCTACTTTTTAATGTCAGATTTTTTTTTTACTTAATTTGACATTGAAAATGTAATTCTAATTTTTAAGTTATTTACTATCATTTAATTAATATGTGATATATTATAAAATAAAAGGAAGAAAGTAGCAAAATAATGAAGTTTTTATAATGAACTTCTTTTTGTTTCATTACCTACAAATCATATCAACTTACAAGTCTATATATAATTATATATGTTTAAAGAAGTATAAGAATTACATTAATTATTGAATAGAATTAAATAGAATTATAAATAAAATAAAATAGAAATAAGTTACAAATGGAAGATGAAGGTGAAGGTATTCACCATATCAAATTTATTTTTGACATATAATACTTCAAATTTCAAAGAGGAATTTTAAGTCTAACGATTTTGAAGGGGTAATTTGAACTTTCCGAATAATATACAATCTCAAATGAGAATTTGAGTTGAATTCAAGGGCTAAAGGAGCATTTTACTTCCTTTTTTTTAAAAAAAAATAAACCTCCCCTTCTCCTCGTCTATCCTATCTCGTATGCATACGCCGTCGTCATCACAGCCTTACCCTTACAACAGCGACGCGCCGTCTTCTCTACGGCGGAGGAGAAGCAACACTTCCTTACCTCCTGATTCTTCTCTCAAAGCAAAATCAGGTATTCCCTCTTCCCCCTTTCACCCCAGTTTCTCCTTTTTTTTTCTGTCGACTGTAAATCCCTAATTTGCTTGTTCTTGGAGTCAGATTTCATCTCCGATGAAGCGGCCAATGCCATGGAATGAGGAGGATGATGACTCCTCATCGTCTGATGAGTCCTCGTCGTCGACTTCTGACACCGAAACTGACAAGATCAAGTCCAGAAAGTCTCAAGGTATTTTCTTCAATTTGTAAAATTTCCTGATAATAAAGAACTAAAATTTAAGTAGGAATTAGTGACTTTGTTTATAATTTCAGTTTTTATTTGTAGTTTTTAATACGATTCAGCCTTTGGGATATAAATCTGTATCTGTTAAAAGTTGTGTTCTTTTTCTTAGAATTAAGAAAAGGTGTTAAGTACATGTAACAAAAGATTTTAGAAAGAAGATGGGAACTGCTACATATCTAACTTTTTTGGTTGTTAGTACTGTTTCTGAAGTTGATTTTTATTGTAACTGAAGAAAAAGGATATTTGTTTATGTTTATAGCCAAGTCTGGAAAGCAAAAGAGTGGTGCTGTGGACTTTGAGGCATTGAAGCAACATGGCTATAAAGGAGGGTTATCTGTTCTGGGTGTGCCTCCACCAAAAGAGAAGCCAGACTGGTCTTGGTCTACTGGCAGGGAAGGTCGTGAAACCAGGGAGGTTGAAGAATCAAATGAAGAACGGCAGAAAACAAGAGAGACAATATTGGCAGCAGAGCAGCTGGTAAATGTGCAAACTCGGAAAGAGAAAAAGAATCAATCATTCTCTCAGAAAGAGAAGAGGAAAAGAGAACTTGGTCAGGCTAGTAGGGGGAAGAATTATGTTGAAGAAGAGAAGAGGTTGTTACGAGATAGTGGAATCTATTCTGGTTTTGATTCTTGATCCATGATTCTTGACCAGAGAATAGAATATCTGAATATATATCAAAGCTTTATTACCTGTTGGCTTCTATTGCACTAGATATTATGTGAAAGATCCACGGTTGTTGTATTGAACGGATGCTTATGCGATGTGATTAGAAAACAATGTGTTTGCTCAAATTACCTAAATTGGCAACTTTGGTTCTTGTCATTTTGTTTTGATTCAATGGTCCTGCAAGGTAGAGCAATTGATGATGCCAACATAAACAGACTGCAGTAAGAGTTACCTTTGGAATGGTTATATTTTCAAACTTCATTAGCTCTTATGGAGTAGCGGCACTTAGAGTATCTTATTGTCAGAGGAGCTTTGTGTTGCATTTGTTGCCTAAGATCTTTCTCCAAGCATTTGTTGACCTAAGATTTTTCTTCAGTACCATAAATAGAATCCTATACAACTTCAGGTATGCTGCTCTTTACTCTCTTGCCCTCAAACACAGCATTCTGCTTTTCAGATATTATGATTTTAGAGTAGACTTCCCTTAACAGTGTGCACCCAAATTTTTAAGAAATTCAAAGCAAAATATGAAAATTGGGTAAGCATATTCTTGTTTGTCATGCTTTTACAATTACGCTTCTGATTTTTTTTTTTTTTTTTATCTATCAGCAAAAAAGTGACTTTATTCAATTGTGGAGTACGAGGGGTAACCCCAGTCATCACTGTATTGCCAGAGTTGAAATGTCAAATGGATATGCATAGGAAGCAGGTAATGTTGCATAAGCAACATTGCCAGCGAGAACATAGATACCCTGTGTGGGGTGCACTCCGTCCCAATACTCATGCTTGCTTCAATTAGAACATGGAACTGAGTATGGGACACAAAGGAACTCATCCTTTGGCACTTCACAACAGGTAAAATTCATAATCAAACCTGAAAACAACAAAAGAAAATGACAATTAGGTAACTAGAGCTAAGCCAAGCCTCTCCTGTCTTGAAAAGTTAAATGAGCTTGAATTATGTCAAAAGTAGGTAAACAAACTTAAGCTTGAATTTCAAAGGACGGACAATTTACCTTGGGTTGAGAATCCAAAAGGATTTATGTAGGTGAAATTAGCATAGGATATGTTGTTATTGAGTTCCTTAACAAGTGACAGAGCCACTTTTTATGCCGTGCTGAGCCAACTCAAATGGTGTTAACCATTTTCAGCTAGAGCAAATAGAGCAACCTTCCCTGCTCCAAGAAGATGCAAAGTCTAATAAGGCACGAAACGTGTATTGGTTACATAGTAGTCTTTTGTTCTGATCTCTCTAGGTCTAGAATTAGAAACTTTTGTATCT